AGATGAAGAGAAGTAAAATATTTAAAATATTTTTATACTTTCTCTGTAAAGTGTACTCTCAGTTTCATTCAAGCGAGGGGAAAAATATCTCAAAACCCTACAGATAGGTTGATTTTCAACTTTTGTCTTTATTTAAAATTTTAATTCTTTCAGTGTTTGTGAATCCTTCACTCTGAATCCATCTATAGCTGACTTAGTGGTCCTAGAATCTGTTAAATAAATTTCTCTGTCTTCTCACACTTTTTTGGCTCTTCAGATACCAGTTCTTCCTCTTCGGTCAGATGGCAAACTGGAACACCAAGTCAAGGTGTTAATAATTGATTTCAGTCAGGAGGGCTGATAATATTTTTGTACCAAAGAAAATGTAAGAATGATTAGAAATTACAAGATATTGCATGTATTTATTGAAGGGAAGAGATCTCATTGTGTCCTGAAAGCCCTGGCCAGAGCGCAGCGAGGGTCAGCTGCTCCCTGCGGCTGGGGCCCAGCCTGACAGCCAGGCCGCGGGGCAGGGGCTTTGCCAGGCAGGGCTCGGTCAGGGTGGCAGCTGGGGACAGCCAGAGCCTGGGTCATCAGGCAAACCCAGGGGGGGTGACAAGTCAGGGCCAAGGTTGAGCCAGGAACCCGGGTCAGTAATCCGGGGTCAGGACCAGGTCTGGTGACAGGGTCAGACACAGCCAGTGGTCGCTGGGCCAAGCCGTGGGCTGGGGACTGGGTGCAGCTCGGCGGGGCCAATGGCCGGGCATGGGGCTGCACCTCAGGCAAGGCCGGGCATGGGGCTGCGCCTCAGGCAAGGCCGGGCATGGGGCTGCGCCTCAGGCAAGGCCGGGCATGGGGCTGCGCCTCAGGCAGGGCTGAGCACTAGAGCTTCGGCTTAAAGGCAGCTCCCGCAGAAGTGCCTTGGCTGGGGCTGCCCTGCAGAGCTGTCTGGCAGCTCCCACGGTCACCAGAGGGAAGGAGGAGCAGCCCTCAGCTGTCCTATCTCTAAGCTGGCCCTGAGCCCAGCAGCCAAAGCCCCAGGAGGGGAACGCAATCAGGGCCCTTACCGCCATTTAAGATCCCAAGGTGCTGCTACCCTTTTCTCTCTGCTTCACAGAGAAGCGTGGGAGCAGATGGCAGCCACTTTAACTGTGCAAGTTTAAATGACACCCAAGTTTCAAACTTTTACAGCTTTTAATTTACTTTTTATTTACCATCATAGCTAGTAAAACTATGCTATGATGACTCAATTATCAATTTCTTTGTGAGCGCTTATTTTGTTCAAGGAAATGTATGTTCTCATTTTTTTGCCCTGATTTCTTTTCCACAGTATGGTAGCTTCATTCCTCAGGCATTGAGTAGGTTTTGTCTGTTCCAGGCAGTGGAAGAAAATCCATTTCTCTGGCATTTGTGGTGAGACAGAAGAGATGTATTGGATGCTGTCTAGTTTCTTGGCTTAGTAAGAAGAGAGAGTAAATGCTGTTATGTTATTGTAACATCCAAAAAGGATTGTTTAAACATTTTCTTCTGCATTAGGCAGCAGTTTTCTAAGTGAGCAGTATAGTTTCTTTTCTTCTTCTTAGTGTACTGGAGAAAACGTTTCATGGCCAGAGGTTTGTGGGATGCCAGGGTTTCAGTGGGGAAGTGACAGAGAAAGGAGAAGCAGTTTCTTTCTTATTCATTGACTCAGAGATCCAGGATAAAATTTTCATTCAAGCCTTTGGCAAAATTCCCGACAATTTTACTGGGACATGAGTTTCACACGCAGCCTGTACTTATTAGGTTATTACTCAGGGTGTACTCATTTAGAATGGATTGCAGTTTTGTGATAGCCTGTAATTGGAAAGAGTATTAGCAGAAAAGGAGAGGATTTGGCTTTCCTAATAAAAGGAAAACAATCATCACTTTTTATTTCCAACTGCTCTATGAATCAAGAACAGTTTAGTTTAGTTGGCAGGTGTGAGGTTTGCAGCATTATTTGTTGAAGAAGATCCTTCCCAAAGTGATACAGGTTATGTGTATAAAGGTGCCCTTTGTTAAGTGACTTATTATGAAAGCAGTTTCCCAAGCGTATTAAATTTGCTAAACTATTAGGCTTTGTTTTTTTATAGTGTAAATGATGTGTACTGTGGGTTTCCTATATAATAAAATTAAATTTCGAATTCTCACAAGTCTTATGATGATGTTAGTGCAGGCCTGTACCAGAAAATGTTTCAGAGCCATAATATATGAAACATCATGTTCTCATCTATCAATATAAAGGTATATTAATATGATTATCTGGAGCATACATGCCTGTAGTGCAACATCAACACAAGTGCAAACAAATATGAAACATATATGGTGGCTGGAGAAAAATACTTTTACAATGCAAACAAAGACTTGCTTAGCCCCTCCATTGTGGTTAAGATGCAATATTGCCATTATTTTAATTTTTAATACCTTTGGTAGAAAAAGAAAATGCCTTCACCATGCAGATAATGCTTTTCTTGAGAAATCCAACATAAGTGCAATTACAAAAATAAAAATAATAATGTAATTATAAATATGTAAATTTAAATAGGAGAATATTAAAGTAAATCACTATATCTTTTGAATGACTACTGCAAAAAATTAACAAAGAATACATGCTTGTCAAATATGCAGTATAAATAAATAATTAAGTTGAAAATAGATGACTAGATATAACAAAGAGACGACCAAATAATGAAGAGCTAAAGGGTGCTTGTTACATCTGATGTACTTCATTGTATATTGTAAGTAATTGCTATCCCTAAAAAAAATCCATGGCTTCTGTATAAGAAAAAGAGACAATTTGACAGGCAACACTAGTAGTAAGCGACAGCAAGTACAGATCCTTGGCAACTGTCATTATCCTGCTGTTGAATTCATATCGAAAACTGTGGGATAACTTTGACCTGTCTAGTTGTTACTGAACCAATGTCTGTTAAATGTGCCGATCTTAGAAAAGGGTATGGACTATTTACTTTTCTTCAGTATACTCTTGTTTTCTGTTTAAAGACGAAATGTGGGAAATGTGCTTTAGTTAGACAATAACGAATAAATAAAAAATTGCACTAGAGAAATAAAACAAAAGTTTGATCTGATGTAGCAAAATTATTTCAGCATATAGAACTAACTGAAAGTAAAAGTTCCTTTTGTAATAATTACAAGAAGACTTCAGTGTTTTAGCCATGAATAAACAGCATTTTAATTACTTTTAAATGTGAAAAAAGTTGTTACAGCTCTTTAGGTTTTTAAGGTTTTTTAAAATTTCTTTTTCTGTTTATATTTCTGGTTTCAAAATCTTTTCTCTATTTATTGCTATCTGGACGTCTTTACTCATGCATTAAAAATAATGCTAACACTTTGGTATTAGCAGCTAGCAAAATTTACCGTTGACAAGGAAGAAATTTTGCTTTAATCTGGAGTACCAAGCTGTTTTTCCTGAGCAGTGAACACAATTTCAAATTGACTTTTATGAGGTTTCCATGTATTAAGACATTCATTTTACAGCATTGAATCTCCAGAAGGATGGGCACCATTGTTATATCTAAATTTGAGTGTTCTCAAAGTATAAAACAACTCAGCAGCGTAAGAGTAAGATTACTCTTGGAAATTCCATGCTTGCATTTTTTGCTTGAAACCACCTCAGTTAAGAAATTGGCGTTTATGCACAAGTACCCTAAGGTTTACATACACTGTACATATAAATAGTTGCTATGATGGTGGAAAATTTTAAGAAAAAGCTGGACAAGGACTGAGGAACAATAATAGTAGCAGTCCTGTAGGTATTTTCATTGTATAGTGTAATTTAGTGACAGGAGATTTTGTAGGTAGTATATATTGTCGAAAAGTAGGAGCCCTTTGCTATGCAAGACCACTTACATAATAGTTTACTTGTCATGTAAACAAGATAAGTCTGGTTAATACAAATGGTACTGTTAATATTCCATAAAATAGTTCATGAGCAGTAAGGAAGTTATCTGCTAAAGAAGGAAGTTATCTACAGAATAAATAATGGCAATGAAGAGATTTTAATTGTATAAAGAAATAAGTTTCTGGTTTCATAGTTATTTTCTGCTCTTGAAGTGGGTGACAAATCGGTCTTTTAAGAAAGGGAGTATTTACAAAAAATAACATCCTCTTGCTGTCACTAGTCAGAATTCAAATCACAGCATTGTGTGTTCAGAGTCATAATACTAAAAAGAGTTTTCTTTGATTGAACTCCAATATTTAGTATTCCTGTGTTAGTATATCAGTTTAAAGTTTTCCTAGGTAAACATACTCCAATCCATGTGGACAAACTCTGAAGTTCGCATTTGCTGTGACATCATTTTTGTAATTTACAATGGGAATACCCCGACAGTTAAGAATTATTTGAATATGAAAGAAGAATGAGGGCTTGATCTCATCTGATTCCTTTCTTACTTCCTCTTCATCTTTGATACTGCTGTTGGCACAGTTATAGTAGTGCTGATTGGGATCTTCGAAAGACTGGATAAAATTAGATTGTGTGATCTTCATGTGGGTGAGTATTCTTGAGTATAAAGTAATTTTGTGTCATTAATAGGAGTCTCAAATTGAAAGTTGGAGGCTTTTGTTCTCATTATTTTTAATGTTTATATGCAAATAAAACCCTTTTTTTAGCTTTATGTGATAATTTAATTTTCATTTTGTATGAAGGCTATCACAGACTTGCTGCTAGTACAGTATAGTGTAGCTGAAATACCTACTGTATTCACCATAATCCTGTCCTACAGCACTTTATACAATTCCCATTCCGATCCTAGCTTGTGCTAAGATTAATTGAGCTGAATTCTGCAATAATTTTATAGTTTGCAGAAATAAGAATCGAGATGAAACTATTAACACAGTTTCATAGGATGTTTTCCAACTTTAATGAAGTTGCTATAGGCTTTTCTGGACTCCGTACAGTCTATCAGTACTAATTTAAAGTAGTTGAAAGACCAGAGCAAAAAGATAAAATTTTACCTATATTTATTGTATTTCTCTTTCAGAAAATGTTTTACTGCCTATGAAAAAATAGCTGTTAAAAATATTGAAGGGAAGCAAAGCTCTAGACAACTTTTTGACCATAACTTTCGCCTGCAATCAGCAATGGTATCAAAAAGGTCAAGACTTCAAGAGTGTTCTACACATCAAACAAAATCAGTTCAGAGCTGTGATGGAGTATAAGACATATAGGCAGCTACAAATCAAACAGTACAGACAATTTCTGTCTTATATCACCATCCAAGAGAAACAGAGCTGGAAGTGTTCCCACAGGTCAAGTAAGGTAATCAAAGCTCTTCTCTGTTGCTTTAATCATGACTGTGCAGTTCAATCACCTTGTAATGATGATTCGGTTGATATTTTAAAACAGATCTTGCTAATTTTTATTAAGATTTCTTGACCTAACAATTTCTCAGAGTATATCCTTTATAAAACCATATTGATTTAACCAAACATTTCTGAAAGACTAATAAAATTACAATAAACCAGGCATCCCAGTTTGCTTTACTAATTTTGAATATACTTAACAATAGATAGGTAATATCCATCAAGTTGACTCTCTGTGAAGAAGAATGTGATTCTCCATAATTAATCCAAAATTAATTGTTTCTGTCTGTCTGGAAAATCCAAGAGAACAATTGGATTTTGCAATGTCCCATAAAGGCAATTAAAGTGAAGACCTGGTGAACAAAAGTGTGTTTTAGTGTGTTTAACTTAGATCTCCTCATCAAAAGCTTTTTGTTGTTAGTGTCTTCTGTTTTGAGTAGGGAAATGGTTGTAAACTGAGACAAACCTAGATGATTATAGTTATTGTGATATCCCCTCATTTGTGTGCTGATGTGACCTCAAATAGGATACAAGTGACTCTAAATTTTGTTTTTTGTAAATGTTTTCTGAAAGTGCTTTGTCCAAAACCATTTAAGTATTTATAATTGCTAATTTTGTATGATAGGACATGTATTTTAATACACTTTTTCCTTGGTGTATGAAAGATAAAATGTATAGCTGCTTTTTGAGAGGGCCACATTCTGGCTTTCTTATTTATATGGTTTAGTACTCAACACCAAAGTAGCTACATTGATTTAATAGCATGACTTGCTTTAGAAATAATAAAAAGAAGATAAAAACCATAGGATTCTTATGTGGTCATTTTGTCATTCAAGAAATGTGGAAACTGAAAAATATGTGAGATTAGCTACATGCCATTATGGTTTAAGTGAAGTATCTAATTCTAATTCAGGGCTAATTGAAATGAATGGAAAAATTTCCAAGATTAAAATTTTTCATGGGAGAAAAATTCAAATCTTAGGTCTCACTCAAACCAGTTTTGAGCTCTGCATGGGAACCTCTTGCTGCAGACTAGGACAGAGACTGCATGTCACAAATGGGCTTGCTGAAGTACAACATTTTGTTATAAATCTGCTTTCCCCTCTTTTTTTTTTTTAAATTTTTAAAAATAGTCTTAATGTGGTATTATTCAGAAGTTGTTTGTGGTATGAGCATTTAAAATAGTATTATGAGTTTTTTTAATAGAGTGTTAGTTTATTCAATTATATTCTGCTAACTGCATTGAATATATTTTGCTATCTGGGAAACAGAAACAATTAACAATAAGCCCCACTCTGCAGTCACTGTACAGGCATAATTGCTGTCAATTTGATTGAAATTTTGCCTGAGAAAAGACTGTCATCAGTTTTTACTTTTTAAACTAGAAGCAATAACCTACATACTATGCACTGAAAGCGCTCTTTAATCACAAGTTTTCTCAGAATCAACATTTTTTCCATGTTTATTTGTGCTGATAGATTTTGAAAAATACTTTTAAAATTAGGTGATTTATTTTCTTCTGAAATTCTTAAGATATTTCATAAACGGACTTCATAGTGGAATTAAGCAAGTACTTGCTAAGTAGTTGGGTTGAATAAACTCAATTTGGGATAGATTCAGTCTATTTTGCTTATAAATAGTCCAATTTATCAGTATTTGCTGTATTTATAACTTAGGTGTTCCAACTAAATTCTTCCACTGTGAAGAATTTTAATAGCCATAGGTTCAGATTCTCTTTTCACAAAATTATTATAAAGGTTCTATTAAAAAGTTAAAAAAAACCCACCTTAGGTTGTTTTTTTAATATTCTAGACTGGATTTTTTTTTTTTTTACCAAATTAACTGTGCTCTCTGTTTCAAAACTCTGGTATATGCAGAAGGCATTTCAAATATCCAAAGTTATTAAACAGCAGCCAAATGTAATCAAAGTCAGAGCTTAGAAAAATGGCATAAGAAAGAACTTTGCTAGTTTCTATGTCCTTAATTAAGCCAGTAACCTCCAGTAGAAGTTTTTTTACATGCATAAAGTTTATCTGTAGCTTTAAACCCTAATGTAAATCCTTTTTTCCTGTAAAATAATCTTACATGAAACTTTTTGTTCTTTGTACTCTATTCCTAAGATGTGACTTGTTAAAAAGTCTTAGGAGTGCTAAGTGAAACAATTTACAGCATAACGTACAATATTATTTGACATTAAAATTCAAGAGCACAATACTTTTAAACAAATCTTTTTAAGGTCATGTGTTTTTCTCATCTTATGATTTCTAGTAAGAAGCACTAAAATACTAAATGACTTCTAGTACAGTTACTCTGATGGTAAATTAGTTGAGGGTTGATTTTTTAATTCAAATTTTATTTTTTCTGACCAAATATTGATCATAAAATAAATATGTTTGTAATCAGTACTGCTTACCTCTTGCATTCATTTAGCTGCTGGAGGAGTGCTCTGAAAAGCTGAATCTGAACATGGCTGCACAATGAGTGTTCTTGGCAGACGGCACCGAAGCACTAGAACCTAAAGACATACCCCATGATGCCGACGTTTATATTTCGACTGGAGAGACCTTTTTATACCCATTCAAAAAAATAAAAGGTAAAAAAAAAACAAAACCAAAACTTAGAACCCCCAGCAAATGGCTTAAGGGGTGCAATTAAAAATGATTTTCACCCTGTCTTTTTGCATGGTTTAACAAAACTAATGTTTACTCATTTACAGCTCAGTAAGAGGATAATGTGCTTAATGAAAGAAAAATCTACTGACAGCCACGTTTATTGCCCTTCATTAGCATTGGTACTTAATTTAATATAGATCTGAATAGACATTAGGGAGCCTGCAGGAGGTTAAATGGTGAAAATGTAAAGAGATTATTGAATTTACTGTTTAGTTTCAGTGACATCAAACAGACATAATTAATTAGGTTTGTTCCACTAGCAAAAATAATCTAGAATGTAACACTGGATTCATTAATGTCATTGTTTAAATTTTTTTTAAAGTTTAGTACAGCAATATGGAATATCTACTTTACAATGCTTTATTAATTTTAGATCATTTGGTGAGACCATTATTAAAATTTTTCTTCTTTCCTTGTCTGATAACTATGTTTTAATGATAACTGGTAATTATGTTTTAATTTTTGCAATGAGGCAAAACATTTTCTGAATCCTTTGCAGTTTAAATGTGAATGTAAATGTTTCTTTCTGTCATATGTTAAAGATCATGAAGTACCTCGTGAGATTTCTGCAGCAAAGTTGTGGTAAAATTTTATAACATTAGATTAAGTAGGTTGCAGTATCAAATTCAAGATACCAGTTGGGTATTGTATTAAACTATTAATTCAACCAGCATTTGTGATAATGAAATTTTAATTGATGTTATCTAATGTATTATAAAAAGCAAAATTATTATTAGGATAGTGTATGTGTAAGTAAGAATCTACAACTCCAGTGTACAATTCCAACGAGAAATGCAAATAAGATAAATTGTTTGACATTATGTTAAACATTCCAATTTGTATAATGTTGTAGTACTAAAATATGTATATGTTTTTTAAAAAGTTAGAGATTGAACAGAAGAAAAACAAAAGATAAATCATTCAACTAGTGTGCATATCATAAATGTATGTTGTACATATTTTATCTATATATTTCTTTGCAGTTTGGGGCATTTTTTTTCTTATGTACTTTCTTTAGAAACAAGCCTTTGGTTTTATTTTTCTACATAGTTTTTAAATAGCATTTGTTCTCTTGGTAAGTATTAGGAGACATACTTCACAGGTAAATCTTTCACTCTGAATTTCAAAATATTCAAATGATCTTTTGCTAATTCTTTTACAGATTGATATTACTTAGTACAAATACATTTCAAGAAGATATCTATATCTATATAGAACTCATTACTGGTTATTTGCCTAAGAAAATTACTACTATGTAGCTCTCTCTATACACATAAAAATGTAATATTAATTGATAGAGCCTTTATGATGTAATTCCAGTAATTAAAGGTTTGTTTATATTTTCATGGAGGTATTAAATAAACTTATGTTAGTAAGCTTGTGTTTTACATAATCAATTTTATATGTGATAAGCTGTCGTTGATAACACAAAAATTATTGTGAGTACGATACAGGTGATCCATTCACTAGAATGGCTGTAATGAATGGTCTATATATTCAGTAAAAGCCACACGTCTTTCTATTTATTCTTTCAAAATTCTATGATAAAACTACCGCTTGTACTGCATGAATCATTTACATGACCCTATTATTGCAGTATTTTTATATGGTTACTGCTATAATTTGTTACAAAATCTTCACTGGTACTCTTATTGTAGTTTCTCCATGCATATGACTTGAGTGTTATGATAGATTTTCAAATTCATTAAGCAAGTCTTTTATTCTTTCTCTCATTTTCCTCTTTCAAGCCAAGTTCAAAACAAAAACTTCTGTGCTTTGTCTGTGTATCTTTGGCTGTGTTTCACTGTGACATGCACTGCTGTTCTTTTAGCACCAAAATGTTGGCACACATTACTGAAAATTTCACACCATCTCTTGCTGGATCAGCAAGCTTAACCTACCAAAATCTGGTGTTGTTGAATGGTTTTTGACTGATAATCAATCTTTTTGCTGCTCGACAGTTGTTGCTGGGACACAGACTAGAGCAGGTGGCAGATGTGCCTTGTCTTTTGAGAAAAGAAAGAGTAGGTGAGCTTGGGCACAGACTAACATATTGTGTGTCCATTAAAAGGCTAAGTATAACAGGAAAAAGTCACTGCTATAAGTAGAAAAGCCACCAATACCAGAAAATAGGCCTTTTTACACCCCTGTTTACAAGTTTAATAGAACTGGAAAATGACAGTTAATAGTGTAGATTATAATGTGCTCAAAAATCAGAACTGATGTTAAAAATTTTGATAAATTCTCTGTATAACATTCCATAGTACTTTTTTTTTGCTTATATTTTTTTATTTATGCATAGTATGAATGACAGTGTACACATTTTAAAAAACCTAGAGTGTATTGAAGATAGGTTTTAGAGATGTATAAAGATATAGAGGTAGACAGCATGTATTTTATATTTTCTTTCTCTAGCCAAGACTGGGAAGAGAGCATAGAATAGTATGACTTGTCAGTATAAACATACTGACTGATGCATTTGAGTCCTTAACACATATATAACAAGGTCAAATGTCAGTAGCAAATCTTTTTTGAATGGGAATGGAAGATCAGAGATATACTGTAAAGCCGCCACCCTGCAAATATGTACAAGTGGTCCCATGGAAATCAGAGAGACTTTTTACGTGTGTAGTCACACATAAATATTAGCAAGATCAACATCTTTTTGGAAATTGGTAATTCAAGTACTGTATAAATCATAAAGTCTATCAGAATTTTATCTTCTTGCATATATTTTAATTGCTTCAAGCAGTATAAATACCTGGATAAAATATAATTCCCAGTGATGTTGATGTCTCGGTTTATTTGGATTTATTAACTTCTCATCTTTCTGATATATTAAAATTTAAATTGAGATTTGGATTAAGTGAGTAAGGAATCAAACATAAGTTGTCAAATTGCATGATGTGGGATAAAAATTGAAAGCCATTGCTTCTTTTAATTTAATTCAATATTTATAATAAATACATGCGACATAACAGTTATAAGGTGCCATTCCAACAGAAGTTTAGCACACAAAAAAGTAACAAGTCTCAAACATTTATAGCACACAAAAAATATGAAGTCTTAAACATTTATAACATATTTTTGGGGGACTATTGTGGAACTAGTGGGTTGAAGAACTGTGCCAAAGAGTTAATACTCTGTAATATGTTGTTCCATGTAATTTTGTGATGGTTGATAGTCATATTTAATTGTTCATTGGAAATATATGGGGGGAGAGGGGGCACATACTTCAGTGTTTCTTTGCAGACACTTATATATTTAGCAATTATTGAATTTCAAAATGTATTTTATATTCTTATTTATTCATTTTAATGCCTCATGTTTCTCTTGCCAGCTTTTATTGTACTCCCACACCTCTTTGCAATTGAGTTTCCAGTGTCTCCAGTGTACTGCTTTATTTTTTTTTCATTAGTTACCAATTTCTTAAACTGATACTAATTTATTTCTCTTGAATTTAATTCCAGTGACATTAGCATCCTTGCCCAATAAAATAATCAATTGTCTGTCATTCCTTCATAAAAAGTTTGTGCATTTGATCAGTCATGCTATTGTGGAAAACAAGGCTTCTTCTAAACATAATCCTCCATTCAGTAATTTTTCAGTTTCTGGGTTTGCCATTTACCTTGCTCTTGCTTCAGAGTTACTAAGTTGGAGACAAAGGCGTTTTGGCTGATCAATCAATTGTGGACCTAGACTGCAATCCAAAACCAATTATGCTCAGGTCTAATTCAGTGCACTACTGAGAGTGACATCAGTGATTTCTGCAGGAGCCTTCAGAGTAGTGAAGCTACACATTTATACAGATATATGAGTATACTTGCTAGAGCTCCACTGACTATAATGGGAACTAAGATGTCTAGCGGACATATAGGTAATTTACAAGTAGACATCTAATTTAGCTGTGCTGGTCTTAAACTACATCAATTCCTAAAGGCAGCTTTTGGCCAGAATGCTGTTGTTGATATGCCGTGTTCACATATTCTTTGTAAGTCATACCGACAATGATTCCTTGCACGAAGCATGGTTCACTTCGCTGATCACATAGGTGCTTCAGCTGATTAATACATCTTACTACTTGGGTACAGAGCATTGTTTATAACCTACCTCCAGCTCTCATTCTGTGGATCACTATAGTAAAAGAACTATATGGTTGTTCATATCATATAGGACTTTCTTTCCATGATACAGAAAGAATTAGTATATAAATGTTCACTTTTTACTGCCTAGCCAAAATGTCTGTACTCTTTAATTTAGAGTTATATTTGTAGGATGTATATGTTTCCAGTAATATGTGCTAAAACTAAAAATAATGAATAAGATTTTGTGTCTTTATTAATGCGCTATGGCAAGGAGGCCACTAGAAAAAGTGATCCATAGTTAGTGTTCTCAATGCTGCATTTCAGGTCTGTATTTAAATGAAGAGATAAAGATATTTTTGTTTAAAGACATTTAGATAACATGTGATCTACAAAATGAAATAATTTACCAAGACAGGTTCCAATTGATAAGAATGTGTATGAATACATTTAAAATAGGACATCTTTTCTACAAGGGGTGAGTGTCAGTGAAATGATATTCTTACCATTCTAACTATTGACTGATTTGGACATGTTTCAATTCCAAGTGGCATTCTAAATAATATAAAGCTTTTTCTCAACAACACATAAAAATTAAAGTTGTCATATTTTATTTTTCAGAAAAAATACTTCTCCTCTATGAACTTGAAGTTAATACATTTTATTACAAATTTTCCTGTAATTACTGTATGATATATTATTATTTCACTGCGTTTGTACTGGAATTTTGATCTGAAAAAGGAATATGCTATAACAAATATTAATAAAATATGCAGAAATACATATCCCATCATATATTATGAGCTTATCCATCTCATACCATCAATTGAAGTTTCTTC